TGCTACAATAAAAGATCATCAGATTGGCTTAGCTATCTACGGCATCAAGAAGCGGTTTCACTTTACACAAACACGTACCACCAGGGACTCTTTTGTTCTCAGTTGCCACGATACTCACTGTGATTGGCGCATACTAGCTAAAGAGCTCACAAACTGTGGTTACTACACTATCAAGAAGGCCCAGCTTAACCACGCATGCCCGTTGGACCAGCGTGATCAATACAAGGTTAAGGCTACATCAAAGGTCCTTGCTCATATCAACCGTACCCGCTACAGCGACCCCAACAATGGTCCTAAAGCTGCTCAGCTGCAGCAGCTTGTCTTGGAGGACTTGCGTGTCTCTGCCTCATACCAGAAATGCCACAGGGCAAAAGAACACGCCGTTGACATCACTGTTGGTAATGCAGAGGATTCCTATCTCAACCTTGCTGAATACTTTGAGAGGCTTAAACACACGAACCCCGACACCGTTACNCTAAAGCTGCTCAGCTGCAGCAGCTTGTCTTGGAGGACTTGCGTGTCTCTGCCTCATACCAGAAATGCCACAGGGCAAAAGAACACGCCGTTGACATCACTGTTGGTAATGCAGAGGATTCCTATCTCAACCTTGCTGAATACTTTGAGAGGCTTAAACACACGAACCCCGACACCGTTACCGCCATAGAAACAGAAGTCGATGTTTTTGGGGAGTCTAGGTTCCTCTACGGGTTCCTCTCTTTTGGTGCTTCAATTATGGGATTTCGTAGACTCCGCCCTGTTCTCATAATTGATGGCACCCATCTGTCAGGGAAATACAAAGGCTGCCTCCTAACTGCTAGTGGTCAAGACGCAAATTTTCAAGTCTTCCCACTCGCTTTTGCTGTTGTTGATGCAGAGAATGACAGCTCTTGGCTATGGTTTCTTACCAAGCTTGAACGGATTATCGCAGATTCTAACACTCTCACTATTATTTCAGATCGTCACATTTCCCTTCTCAAAGCAAAGGCAATAATCTTCCCAAAGTCCCACCATGGTGCATGTATTGTTCATATAATGAGAAATGTAGTTTCCCGGTTCAAGAACAAGGGTCTCGCCAAACTGGTATGTGCTGCTGCATTTTCGTTTAAGCGCAAAGATTTTGACAACAACTTTGGGAAAATCAAGCAAGCCAATCCAGCATGTGCAAAATACCTCACAGACATTGGCACTGCTAAATGGTCACGCACATACTTCCCTGGCAACCGATACAACCTCCTGACCAGCAATGTTGCGGAGCAGCTTAACAATGCCTTGTCCAAATCTCGGGCATCCCCCATTGTTGAACTTATCATGTTCATCCAACGAATGCTCACACGCTGGTTCTCAGCAAGGCGAACAAAGGCCGCAAAACACCGGGGGGCAGTCACCCCTGAAGTTGCCGCTGTAATGGAGACACACATGAAGCTCACCAAAGGTAGTTCAATTGCAAACATCACTGACTGGAGCTACCAAGTCAAGGGGGTTTTTGGCTATTCTTACACTGTTTCCTTGGACAACAAAATTTGTTCCTGTCAAGTTTTCCAGAAACTAAAAATCCGATGCGGCCATGCACTCCTTGTTGCTGATTATGTCGGCCTCCCTCATGTGCAACTAGTTGGTGATTGCTACAAAACTCAGACATGGAAAGATATATATGCTGGTGTCATCTTCCCAGAGGCGCCTTTTGGTGAGCTCTCAATCCCTGCTGCGATTTCTACTCTCAACCTACAACCTCCTAATACCCGTCGCCCTTCTGGTCGTCCCAAGGATAAGCGGATTGCTTCAACAGGAGAAATTCAGGTTACAAAAAAAACACTAAAGAATTTTTTTTATCTTACTGCTACAAGAATATACAGGATCTTGGCAATATACCATTTTTCAGGTCCCAAAAAAAACAAAACTCAATAGATGTGGTCGTTGTGGGATTTCTGGCCACAACAGGACCAACTGCGTTGTTCCTATCTGAGTTGTGGTGAATTCAATATCCACAGGAATGGTCTTTTGGATAGCGCTTTCACCTCATTAACAGCTTCTTTTGTTTTTTTTTTTGGATTATGTGCATGCTATAACTCTTGAACATGTATTGGCTGTTTGTTAGACGCTAAATTTATTAACCACTCCTACCTTCTTATATGCATGTTATCAGTTTCCATGTTTTATATCCACATGGTGTGTACACATTTACACTATCATTGTCACGTCCACATGTACATCATCCCACACCCTCACGCAGTTGCAGAACAAATGACCATCACCTTCCAGTGTCCACATGTACGTCATCCTACATGACCCACTCACACAGAGCACAACATTCTACACTAAAGCTATTACAAACAATTTATTAACCACACCCACCTTCTTATATGCATGTTATCAGTTTCCATGGTTTATATCCATATTATGTGCACACAGGTACACTATCATTGCCACGTCCACATGTACATCATCAGCTGAACAACCCTCACTCAGTTGCAGAACAAATGACCATCACCTTCCAAGTGTCCACATGTACGTCATCCTACATGACCCAGTTGATAGTGCAGAACATTCTACACAAAAGGAATCACAAACAATACAAGTGCATAACATTCTACACTAAAGCTATTACAAACAATACATATGTACACCATATTTGGTTCTACACATGGACACCATTTCAAACACATACGTTTACACATCTAAGTTTACACATGTACACTATCCTACCCACGTCCACATGTACATAATCCCACACCCTCACGGAGTTCCAGAACAAATGACCATCCCCTTCCGAGTGTCCACATGTACGTCATCCTACATGACCCACTAAAGCGGTTACAAACAATACATATGCACACCATATTTGATTGTACACATGGACACTATTTTTAAACACGTACAAACCATTCACACGTACACTATCATTGCCACGTCCACAAGTACATCATCAGGTGAACAACCCCCACTCAGTTACAGAACAAATGACCATCACCTTCCGAGTGTCCACATGTACGTCATCCTACATGACCCAGTTGATAGTGCGGTTACAAACAATACATATGCACACCATATTTGATTGTACACATGGACACTATTTTAAACACGTACAAACCATACACAGGTACACTATCATTGCCACGTCCACATGTACATCATCAGGTGAACAACCCTCACTCAGCTGCAGAACAAATGACCATCAGCTTCCAACTGTCCACATGTACGTCATCCTACATGACCCAGTTGATAGTGCAGAACATTCTACACAAAAGGAATCACAAACAATACAAGTGCATAACATTCTACACTAGAGCTATTTCAAACAATATATATGTACACCATATTTGGTTGTACACATGGACACTATTTCAAACACATACGTTTACACATCTAAGTTTACACATGTACACTATCCTACCCACGTCCACATGTACATAATCCCACACACTCAAGCAGTTCCAGAACAAATGACAATCCCTTTCCTAGTGTCCACATGTACGTCATCCTACATGACCCACTAAAGCGGTTGCAAACAATACATATGCACACCATATTTGATTGTACACATGGACACTATTTTAAACACGTATGAACCATTCAAAAACCACCCACTTTTATATGATGTGTCCACCTGTACCCAGTACATCATGTGCACCTTTATATGACTACAAACACCACAAACATTTTTCCCTATCGTCTACATGACAATCCGTAAACACCACAAACATATTTTACTGTACACATGGACACTATTTTAAACACGTACGAACCATTCAAAAACCACCAACTTTTATATGATGTGTTCACCTGTACCCAGTACATCATGTGCACCTTTATATGACTACAAAGACCACAAACATTTTTCCCTATCGTCTACATGACAATCCGTAAACAACCCTCTTCGTTTGTGAAAAGATAACTACATCCACAACAACAATATAATTTCGGGACGTCCACACATGGACACTTTCAAAAGTGAAGGATGACAAAAACAACAAACCTTTCTTCTGTTTTGTCCACATGGACACTAAAACCAACACTACAACTGCAACCAAATCTGTACCGCGCAATTATACACCACGAAGGCGTCCACGTGTACAAAAGATGTGGATGTTACACATTAATATATGATAACATGTCTACAAAATAGATTGGTCAAACACACAAAACACATTACACGTCCACATACGTTTACACATCTAAGTTTACCAGAGCAAAATACATAGCCGATTATAGGTCCACATGCCTTTCAAAATACATTCTACCACACCAAAAGCTGACTACGTCCGTTTGCAAAACATAAACCGTAAGTCTCACACATCACATTAACGTAAGTAGAGAGGTACCACCAAACTGACGTAAAGATCCATTGCATACTGTTTGCGGAATATGTTAACCAAATCATCGGTCAGGCCTGCCATAGTCGGATCTTCATTACCCGTAGCTAACATTTCCATGAATTTCACCGCCACCGGTCCGCAATCATCGCTCCGTGCATTAACATACAAACCACCCAACCTCTCCACTGTAAATGGCGTCTTCTGATTCTCTCCAACAGCTTCAGCAGGGCATACTTTCTTAGCAATGTAAGGCAGCATAGTTGTCAAAGGCTCCATCAGCTCATTAACTTCTTCCATAGTTGTCAGCCTTGGGTTCGGATCCAACACCACGATCTTCCAATCATTCAAGCTAATACGCAAGCCGACCCAGTGTTCACCTCTCCAAATCATGGGTGCGTACAGCGTCTCCACATCCAGACCCCACGTCTGTCCTGGCTTTGTTAGGTACATAGTGATTTTCTCATCTCCTGCCACACGTCCCTTTTCCCTAGCCGCCTTAAAAGGGCGTTCCTTCCTTTGCACCTGTGATGTGAACCACGGTGTTAAAAACAACCCTCCATTCAGGTGAACTGTTGGACCATGGCACCGCTCAATGAATTCCATCAACACAGCTATATGCTGTCCATAATAAAAAACAAACATTAAATATGAATATGATACGTCGAATAAAACAGCTATGGTACAATGTCACCATACCGTGCTTGACACCCATTTCTGTGGTGTTGCTAACTCCAAAAAGAACTGATTGTCGAGATTCTCCCCTCCGGCATTGAGGTGAATCCTAACCAAAAAAACACCCAATTTAAAGTTTAGAAGCCATCATCACCAAAATAACTCATATTATTTGACAACTCACGCTTTCTTATTAGCCTGCAACACTTTCTTAAAGAAAGGATAATCCGGATCCTCAATCATCGGCAAAGTATCAGAAACATTGTACTGGTTCCTAGCCAACAACAACGCCGCCAACTCCTCCTCTTCTGGCACAGGCTGATGTTTCGCTGACTTCAATATAGGTGAATCACTAAGCTCCATTACAGGTGCCTTTACGTTGTCCACCTCTTCTTCCTCAGTAAGTTCGTCACCACTACCACTCTCCTCATCCTCAGCCACAGTAGCCTGCAGTTGTCAATTAACCAAACATTAACATGTCAACACGTACATGTGTCAACGCTATTACTGTTAAGACTTAACCAACCAATTCAATTACCTCCAACCGTTTGTCCGATACACCACACTCATCACCTCCTACCACTTCCCCGCTCTCTAACTGCAGGATCATAAAACTAAAATTATGAATGCAAAGCTCAGCTATAATATAAGTTCACTCATATAAGAAATTTTTTAAGTTACTTACCACAGCTTTCTTTTCTTCCGACGATGTAACCTTCTCCACATTATCCTTGCATACATCATCGGATGCACCTCCCCCAACCTGAATGTTACATCCTAATATGTTAGTCACCCACTATCCTACAATTTTACTCCCATTCCTTTCCTTTAAATACATCACTCACCAGTTCATTGATGTTTACCAAAGTACCCTCTACTTTCTGTTTCGCCTCCTCCACTTTGTTTTCTGTCTCGCCTGGTCCACTTTTTTCCCCACCCTCGCCCTGCAATTACCATAATTGAACAAATTATAAATCTGCTTCAAGCCACCCAATGACTATACACATGGACTCTTGAATTTTTTTTTAAATTAACCCAAAACTAATACGCTATATTCCACGTACATGTGTACACAGACCATAGCGTTAAAAAACAACACCGAAATTAACACTCACCACATCTTTCTCAGTCTCTTCACATTGGGCTAAACTTGTCTGCTGTTGCAAACCGTTTACGTCTCCATCAATCTCGTTATGTGTATCATCAGTAACAACCCTATTGATTGCTTCTATCCCAACATCCACCTCAGCAACCTGAACAATTAAACACCCCAAAATAATTCTCAACGCACAGGAGTGCTGCCTTCAAATCACCATTAATCTATGATCGAATTTTACCTCAATCCTGTTTCCTTCTCCCACGTCACCAATTTCACCTATCAACCCTCCAACCAGCTTCTCCAGGCTCGAGGATTCCTGAAACCAACAGCAAAAGACCACAAAAAAACATGAGTTACGCCAAAGGAGAAATACAAAATCCATTCAAATATACAAAGAAAAAAAATAAACCTCTCGCCCTAGTCCCTCATCTGAATCATTTGTACCAGTCATGGACACATCATTCAAAACATCATCACCTTGATTCTGAATTACACCTTCTCCTTCACCCACACTTGGAACCAAAAGAGCTCTCCCATCCCCATCTGCATGAACAACAGTGTCACTTGCTTTCCTGACGTTCCTTTTTTTAAGCTTCCGTCTTTTCATTCCGCTTCTCGATGCCACAATCTGTTTCAGCTTATCTATCTTCTTCGCTTGTTTCTCAGTCACAACTTTAAGCTTTACAACCTCTTCGCATACTTCCTCCAAACGTCTCTCAATTGCTGCTTGTTTCTCCCTATCGCCAATAACCAGACGTTCATAGTACTCGCTCATCCTACGCTGTTTAAGCACAGGTTCACCATCACTTTCATCTTCATCCTTCAATTGCCTTTTGTTTTTTTTTCCCGCAGCCTCGTAAAGGAACAGCGGTCCACCAGCATCACCGCCCCCCCAATCAGCCTTCGTGAAACAATAACCTTCTTCCAACAAACGTTTCATGTTCTCCACTTTCTTGTCATATTTCTCGTCAAAAACTCCCCATCTCTCCACCCGTTCCCCAGTTATTTCCATCGTTGGTTGTACCACAAGCTGCATCACCATAAAACCAAAAAAATGTATCATATAACCGTTGTTCAAAGAGTGTCCACGAGAACATACAATAAAAAGTGTCCACATGGTCAACGACCGCATAGTGTCCACATGGACAAACAAACAACATCCTAAAGAACTTTGGGAATACTTTCGTGATGGACGTAAGTTAAAATTCATTGTCCACACAAACACATACATTCAAGCATAACCGTTTTAACTTTCCGTCTAAAAATCATTGTCCACACCTAACTCAATAGCGAATTTACTATAACACTGTCCACATCTACAATAACATATCCAAAATGTCCACGCGATTTCACATAATGACAACCCAAACCTCTAAATCATACCAGTCAATTATATAGCTTAAACATGTACACAGAACAGCTTACCCCAGGGTTGTTTTCTGCTTTGTAGACATCCATCACAGTAAGCCCTGCATGTTGTGGCAGCCCTTTACCCGGGTATTCCAACAACGTTGTCTTCTGATCACCACCAACCAGTTCAAGCAACTGTGGTATTGCTTGGAATGCCACTAATTGCAGTGCCAATGGAAATCCAAACAGCTTAACTGATTTCTGCCTCAACTTCTTACATAACTCTCCATTTGGATCTTCACATTTGCCCATCTCCTTCGGCCCTGGTTTCAACGTGCTTAACGTCCACAGGAATGACTCTCTCCCCCAAGGAAAATTCAGGAAATCGCCCAAATCTTCCAACATCCTCACATGTTTAATCCAAGGTCTTGGTTTCTGAGTTGACGCCACTAGTACCCCGTCTACTATAACAAGCAAACACAACCTAAACTTTAGCCAACCAGGCATATCTTCTTCTGTCTCCACCCTCACAAGCAGTTCCTCAATGGTAACATCCCTGTTCTCACCAATAATCTCTCCTCAGTACTTGTAGTTCTCAGCCTTCGGTTGGAGCTCGAAATAAATGCTATATCCCTCTTCAAATTCCCCACATGGCAAACCAGTCACCTCTCCAAACTCAACCAAGGAGAAGCGAAAGGGTTTTCCACCGAACACATGTCACATCTCAAACAACTTCTTCGTTACCACTTGTCTAGTCATAAGACTATGTATCACTTTCCCAGCAAACAACTGTCGTGCCGGCATCTTGAAAGCCCTCCAAAACAAGAAGCCATCAACTCATCAAACTCTGGAGTCCCAAGTAACGCGTCTCTTACTCTAAGAAGGAAATTCACCGACGAGTACACGTTAACCCTCTCGCTAGGGTAACGGTCCGTAGCAAATAGCCGCTCCGGCAACAACTCCGACTTCTCCTCCGTAATCGCATCCGTCAACCCTGATACAAATGAAAAAAACATTATTTAAAATACCCAAAAAAAACACAGAGGACATTAAAACAAGGAGAAAGCTTCTTACCATCGACGGGATCTTTCCCACGAGTGCTCCTCCTTCTAGCCATCCCTTTTACTCTCTTTCCACCGCACAATGAATCGGAAATCAACACTACAAACAATCCCCCACTGTAATCGTTACTCTCGAACCTCGGTAAACGTGAACGAGAAAAAGAGAGAAATGGAGAAGAAGATGGAAAGTCTTCTTTTTTCCTTCTACTAACCGGTGCCTTCAATTAAAGGGGGGCCCAATTTAAATTTCGAAATTTGAAACCCAAACGAGAAATCCAAAAACCAACTAAAAGGAGAATCGCTTTTTAGGTTTAGTTGAGGGCAAGTTAAGTCTTTTGACTCAAAAACTACCCTACCCGTGACAACTGCCTTTTCTTGATAAAAAAAACACAATAACTGCCCTATACTGACAAAAACTCTATTCTAAACAAAGACCCGCTTCACAATCTTTAGGCTTGGCTACAATTTTTTTCTATTCTCTTTCCACTACTCTCTTCTTCTTACGCGTAACGACGAACTCGAACTTATAAAGGGAATTATTCATACCTTGAACCTAGCTAGCTCCGTTACTGAGGTATGTTGCTTACTTGCTTCCTACTTGATGTTGATTTGATAGACAACGTCACCTTACTTACCACTTTTTTTGTTCTTTACTTATTACTAGGTATTGCCTACGCGTTCAGTGGCGGATCTAGAAAATAATTTTACTAGGAGCATATAGAATTTATTAATTAATTAATATATTTATATTTAACATTATTACATAATTATTTATATATATAAATGAAATGGTTTTGAAAATTAAACTTATACAACTAACCTTACTTTTAAATAATTATAAAATGAATCACTAACAAAAAAAATATAATGGAATAAATAGTTAAGAAAAGAATATAGACAAAAATTGAGTTTGGATGACACAAAAAAAACTAATGAACAAGAAGACTGCAGGAAAGACACCGTAGGGGGGGGGGGAAAGAAGTACATAGTAAAAACACGTAGACAAAACAAAACACAGAAACAAAAATACAAAGGTATTTTAGTAATAAAACCTCTCAACTAAATATGGATCGTAAAAAAAACTTTCAACTAAAGATTTAGTGAAATAAACCCTCAACTTTAGTTCTGTTAATGTTTGTCACCCTCCGTCACGGAATTTTAGACGGAGGGTGACATACGTTAACAAAACTAAAGTTGAGGGTTTATTTCACTAAATCTTTAGTTGAGGGCTTTTGTTACGATCCATCTTTAGTTGAGGGTTTTTTAGTACTAAATGAGGTTAAATATTTTAAAATATTTATTCATTATTTAAGAATCTTAAAATTGATTTATAAACGTTGCAAATAATTTATATTTTTATATATTACTTTATCAATTTTATAACCTATTTATAAAGTTTTCTCATTTAATACTTTTTATAAATTATTATTAAAGTTTAATGATGATTTTATAAGATTAAAGATGTTATTATTCGTCATACTACAAAAAACATAAGTAAATAAATAAAACAAGAAAAACTTATTGATTAATATGGTAGAAGTATAACATACTGGTTCAGAAATTAAAAAGAAGAAAAAGAATCCTACATTATTTCTTCTGAAACATAAAAAAGTACGAATCAAATTAGAATTGTTTAAAGAGGAGAAAAAAACCCTTGCCATATTTTAAGTAACAATGTTGAATTTCTAAACTAAATAAATATCCTCAACACTACATACAACTTTATATAACTTAGAAATCTTAATTATTTGATATTTGATAGTATTAACATAAGAAAATTATATGTGTTTCCTCTTTTATAGAGATTTATCGCTTTACTTCGTAATATAAAAAAAATCATATATTATTCCATCCTAAGAAATAGCAGACAAAAACTTATAAAATCATCGTTAAACCTTATTAATAGTTTATAAAAATATTAAAATATTTACTAAGCTTTATAAATAGGTTACAAATTTGATAAAGTAATATATAAAAAATTATAAATTATTTTCAATCTTTATAAATCAATTATAAGATTCTCAAATAATAAATAAATGATAACAAAAATTTTAAAATATTTAACCGCATTTAGTAATAAAACCCCTCAACTAAAGATGAATCGTAACAAAATCCCTCAACTAAAGATTTAGTGAAATAAATCAACTTTAAATTTTTTAACATATGTCACCGTCCGTCTAAAATACCGTGACAGAGGGTGACAAACATTAACAAAACTAAAATTAAGGGTTTATTTCACTAAATCTTTAATTGAGGATTTTTTTTTACGATTCATCTTTAGTTGAGGGGTTTTATTACTAAAAACCCAAGTACAAATAACGAACAAGTAGGTTAGTGGGGCGCATATAGAAAATCGAACAGGTCACCAGTGGGGGCAACTTAGAGGTTTTAATCATCTGAGCTATTAATTTAACTATTGTTCTTATACAAATAAATTTCTTTGTATCTTTTTGTGGGGCAGCTGCCCCCTTTCTGGACACTGTAGATCCGCCCCTGTCCGCGCTAAATCGTGGGCTTTTTCATATTTCTATAAATCTAATTTCATGTTTGAAAAAACAAATTAAAATTGATTTGTGTGATATAGTAATACTTTTTTTACATATCTATACTATTATTTGCGAAGTGATTTTTTGAAACAGAGCTCTCACGTTAAACGTTAGAGTGGCTAATATCGATTATACCCTTAATGAATAAGCTAAATAAATTAGCTAAAAAATAAAAACGAATTTATATATTTATTTTACTAGATTATTTGTGAAAATTAATAGCAAGAAGAATTATTCAAAATATAAAATATAGATTTTATTTTAAGAAGATAATTCTTATATATATTGTGTTGTTATCCAAAAATATCATTTATAAAAAAAATTAAAATTCAAAAATTCATAAACAGAAACTACATAAATTGAAATTAATAAAGAATTCTTAATTTTATATTTGAAAAAGAATATTGAATTATTATTTTTATTTATTTACTAATAATAAATATGTTAAAATATTTTTTCAAAAAATTATAGCATATAAGAATTTTCTAATGAAAATATAAATAAAAATGTATCTTTATAATATTTTAGTTAGTAATGCATTTACTAATAATAAGTAATTATAAAATTGCTAAGCCCGCATGTGCGGTAAAACACCTAATTGGAATTATACAATAATAAGAAATTCTGAAAAAAATAAATATTTAAATTAAGCTATTTAAATAAAACTATTTAATAAAGAATAAATATATATCTATTTGTAATATAGTAAAATCAACCAAGATAAAAGTTTTCTTCAGATTTGTAACAAAAAGGTTCATTGAGTCAAATCCATTATAACTTTATAAGTTTATAAATAAAAGAATTACAAAATCAATTTTTTTTTATTTGTTAAGATTTTTTTGAAATAGTTCCAGGTTTATTTGGATATTTTCTGCCGTTTCAAACATTGTAATAATTGCATCCACATCATACTTCTTTGGAGTTCTATGGATCTATGCATCCTTAACTTCACAGAGGTCAGAAACTATATTACAATAAAAAAAATTTAAAATTTACACCAAAAACATTTATATTTAATTTACAAATCTGAATTAGTTTTAACATTGACCTCTTCTTGATTTTTTTTCATGCTAGCCTCTACACAGTTCATAGTCATCACACACTATGCTCAATCCTGCTTGCTCATAAAACGCTTATAACACTTTAAACACATCAAACAAAGGATGCTCATAAGACACTTTAAACACATTCAAATAAAGACGGGTTTTGTTCAACAAAATTTAGTGAAGTTATCCTTTCATGGGAGGCCCCTTCTCTAACGTAAGACCTTACAGAGCCGGTTGGGGGGGGGGGGAATGGTGCGACCGCCCCGGATCCAAGTCTGTGTCCCTCCATGTCTTAATAGTTAAGGGGCCCAAATTTTTATTAAATACATAATTATATATAAAAATTTTGAAATTTAAGTAAATGAATTTGAAAAAGGCCCCAAATTTTTTATGTGTATATAATTTTTTTTCTCATCACAAAATATTAACGATTAAATTTTAGAAAAAAGTATAGAAAGTATTTTACTAGATTATTTGTTAAAATTAATAGCAAGAAGAAGTATTGAAAATCTAAAATATAGATTCTATTTTAAAAAGATAATTCTTATATATATTGTGTTGTTATCCGAAAATATCATTTATAAAAAAATTAAAATTCAAAAATTCATAAACAGAAAATACATAAATTGATATTAATAAACAATTCTTTATTTTATATTTGAAAAATAATATTGAATTATTTTGATTTGTTTACTAATAATAAATATATTAAAATATTTTTTCAAAAAAATTATAGCATATAAGAATTTTCTAATGAAAATATAAATAAAAATGTATCTTTATAATATTTTAGTTAGTAATGCATTTACTAATAATAAGTAATTATAAAATTGCTAAGCCCGCGTGTGCGGTAAAACACCTAATTGGAATGATACAATAATAAGAAATTCTGAAAAATAACTATTTAAATTAAGCTATTTAAATAAAACTATCTAATAAAGAATAAATATATATCTATTTGTAATATAGTAAAATCAACAAAGATAAAATATTTCTTCAGATTTGTGACAAAAAAGGTTCATTGAGTCAAATCCATTATAACTTTATAAGTTTATAAATAAGAGAATTACAAAATCAAAATTTATTTATTTGTTAAGATTTCTTTGAAATAGTTCCACGTTTATTTGGATATTTTCTGCCGTTTCAAACATTGTAATAATTGCATCCACATCATACTTCTTTAGAGTTCTATGGATCTACGCATCCTCAACTTCACAGAGGTCAGAAACTATATTACAATAAAAAAAATTTAAAATTTACACCAAAAACATTTATACTTTACAAATCTGAATTAGTTTTAACATTGACCTCTTCTTGATTTTTTTTTTCATGCTAGCCTCCACACAGTTCATAGTCATCACACACTATGCTCAATCCTGTTTGCTCATAAAACGCGTATAAGACACTTTAAATACATCAAATAAAGGATGCTCATAAGACACTTTAAACACATTCAAATAAAGA